CCATGCAAAGATAGGATTAAGATTGGGAATTGACAGAGTCTACATGAAAACATTGTTATTAAATAAAAATGAGAGGCAATAAAAGGAATCTATAGTAGTATTCTAGCCTTTCTATAAATTGGTACTTGCTTATATTTCACAACAATATTTCTATTAATAATGATTGATTGATTGATTGATTGATTGATTGATTAATCAATCAATTAATCAATCAATCAATCAGTAATGATAACTTGACTGGTTGACACCTATGAAGCTTTTGGGAAATGGGTAATTTCAATTAAACCAACAAAGACAATCTCACTAATGCAAGCACAATTTTCACATTGTTACCTAACATTTATTCACTAGAGATGAGTAAAACAAATGCTAATTAGACAAAAAAAATTAGTTATAGTAACGTAAGCAACCTAGCCACTATAATTCTCTGTTTTGGTAATGTAGCATAGAGTTTCCACCACTGATCCATGGTTTAATATCAAGCTGTTTAAGAGTGGTTCGATATAAACTAGAATTCATACCAGTGCCAAAGGACCACCCACATCTCGACTGCATTGAAAATTTGGAATTGACAATTTCTTATTACCAGAGTTGGTTTTGTCCAACCTTAGTTTGCTCCTATAATTTAATGATTTACACTATGACAAATCTAGTTTAACAAATAGGAGAAGCAGAAGGGAACAGGTAGAATCAAAAGAAAAAGAGAGAGATCTCTTAGCAGCCATTAATGTAGTCGATTTTCTTTTTACGGAAATAAAGTTTTTTTATTTTGTGTATAGAATTAAAGTGCAAAGAGAAGTTGTGTGGGTTAACTCGCATGTTTCCGCAGGTCCAACAATTTGTCACAATAGATAGCATTGTAACAGAAATGAAACAGCAAACAAGGGTATTACATTATTACAATGCTCTTATAAAACATTACATCGGCTCTAGTCTCTAGCCCAGTGGTGGGGAACCTTTGGCACTCCAGATGCTTTGGACAACATCTCCCATAATGCTCTTACAGCCATAATGCTAGTAAAGCATGTGAATATGATGCGATATTCATATGCTTTATGAAGGGCTGCGATATGAAGGGCTGCGGCCAACATGTGAAACATCGTTTAAAACCAAGTAACCAGTCGGTCCGTAAAGTGTATGGGTGCCATTGTGTTACTTAGAGGTCTTCAGGTGCATGGGGGGAAGTATCAATCTAATTGGTTTTGCCCCCCTTTTCCAGTTTCCTTCCCAGAACTATGCGTACAGTCAAGGTTAGGTACGGTTTATGTCCACCCTGTTGGATATCGTCCGATTCCCCTGGGCCGGTCACCATGATCTAAGATCACCACGTATTCCCCAGCCATACCATCCCTTATCAGTGTTGCAGTGGGCTGTATATTACACCAAAGCAAAAGTATCCCTTTAAACTCTGCCAGACTAACTAAATTTTTATGAACAGCAAAAGTAAAAACAGTTACCTTGTTAAGGCAGCTTCTTACAAATAACTTATGTTATTAGGAATAGGATACTGGTATGCTTGGTGCAATACACAGAATTGAGCGAATCGAGGGAGTTAAGAATATGTAACAGAATGTATGAAAATTCATATATAGAAATTGATAGTGAATGGGTACTGTGTCTTTAAAAACTTTTAAAAGACTTTTAAAAACCTTTTACAAATGTATATACTTATTGTCTTGAAATATAAATTGCAGCAGTTATATGTGGTGTTGATATCCTAATCACTGTAATAATACAGGATAGATGAATAGTCACCAAATAATATACTTTAAAAATAAAGATGAAAAAACAAGCAACAGTATGGGTTTCACCATCGATGAGTCATGGTCAACCAATTCATCACATTCATGGGTTATGCAAATATATTACGCATGATTGTGACGCATGCTTCTGAATAATATATACTATTCTTCGGGTTGCAAGATTTCCAAAGATTAAAGAACTCCCCAGGTTAAAACAGTATATGGAACTGCCTACTGCAAAATTATTAAACACAACATGATGAATAAATATTATTTTTAAAAAGCAACTATGGGTTTCCCTCGATGAGTCATGGTCAACCAATTCATCAAATTCATGGGTTATGCAAATATATTACGCATGATTGTGACGCATGCTTCTGAATAATACATACTATTCTTCGGGTTGCAAGATTTCCAAAGATTAAAGAACTCCCTAGGTTAAACCAACCGTCAATTGAGCTATTGTTTTATATAAACCAGAGACTCTGTCTGCCCTTACTTGAAAGCACCATGTAATCTAAGATTGTCTAAACTGTAAAGCATTGTATCAACCAGTTTAGTCTTGTAAATCCTCAAAAGCTTGTTTGTATAAATTAAGAAGGAATTGGAATAATCCATCTTTTTTACTTTTTTTTCAGTTTTTCTTTTTTTGTTAAAGGTTTGTCAGTCTGAACCCAAACAGAACACTGGCTTTTAAATGGCCATGAATTTCCTTTACGTAATGTGTAAAACCGACCAGTAATTCCACAAGGGGGCAGAAGTCTCTTGGAAGCAGCAAAGCTTGCAAAACACTTCTGCTGAAACCTATATTAACTGAAAATCCTGAAATGTTTCCAGAATGAGTACATTGTAATAAAAACGTCACATCTTTAAGAACACATTTGCAAGCAATAAAATACATCAGTTTAAAAGTTAAGCTAAATAATTCAAATATGTCCAAGACATTTTTCATGTTGCTCTATGTTCGCGGAATTCCCTGCCTTGCTACACGACACTCTAATCCAACTCTTGTAGCTTCAAATATTTTTCATATATTCCATATTAGCTACTTCAGTTTTGGCAGAGCTGCATGGTGCCATTCGGCCTCTTACAACTGATTGCAGACCTGCTTACCATATGCAATTCTGCAAGCATGTTTTACAATGTTCTTCTGCTATATTGACATATATATTAGTATATCGTACCTGCATCCAAACTCAGATATATGCTATAAATTCTCTTAGTCAGCTACAGGCAATAATCTTGTGATTCCATCTGGTGGAAGCCTTCCAGTTGGACCTTTTCTTTTCTCCTGCTCACACTTCCTGTCTCTGCTGGTCAACCACTTGATCATTTGGTTACTTGTCTACAGACTTGTTCTGTGGATGAAGCAATGAACAATTGTCAAACCCTGACAAATTCCTATAATTACCGGTACTCACCATGCATCAACACTATATCTTATGTTTTCCCCATTTGTAGAAGATTATTTACAAATCAATCAGTTGTGGTGAACTGACAATCAAGTCACAACAATATTTGACCAAAATGGTAATGAAGAAAAAAAACTTAAATCTACAGCATGATTTAGGTCTGTGAGCTAATTTTTATGTAATTTACATTTTGTGTGCTTTTTATATTCCATATTCCACAGTATTTATGTTTTTATGTAAAGTACTTTTATAAAATGCAGCCTTGGCTGGCAGAAATCCATAAATGTTTATGATGCATGCTTTTTTGTGTGCACTATTTAGAGGTGTGTACTCACAATGTCCATGTTTATTTGTATGAAAAGTATTTGAAATTTGATCAAAGCAGAAATGTACAGTAGATCTCTTGTGACCACAGAGATCTGCATATACACACTATGGGATTTGCTATCAACAAACAAGATCCTTAAGTGGGGATTATAATACTCGATGCTGCTTCCTGGGAGCCAGTTGTAGGCTCCAAAATTTGCGAGTGCATTTTCACTTATATATTTGATTTTTACCATTTACTCCAACAAACTAGATTGGGATTTGCTCTTCTGTTTACCTTTCAGACTCCATGGAACATTTGGCATTGAAGCTAAGAGCACAACAGACATCCCCAGGCGGGGATTGCACCACCCAAGCACATAAAGTAGAGCTATAGATTGTAAGTGCATTTTGTTTTTTCTCTCTGACCTACTTATATTAGATATACTACACTATATTTGGCATTTTCTAATCTCCTAAGGCACTACTCCATTACTTCATTATGCACACCTCTTTCGGACCGGAACAGAGAGACTCCAGTTTGGGTTGTCTAAGCTGCCTACACCACTCAAGTATATGCGGTCGAAACCTGCCACTTTTCATACTTTTAGAAATTTAGAACTGGCATTTATCGATAGAAGCTGATCACTGTTCAAAAACATCTTCAAAATGCACAGTCTTCAAATTTTACAACAGGTCAAAGCAGGAGAATAGCGCTTCTGGGATATACACCACTTTTGCTTGCTTTTTGCTACTGTGAAAAGGAGTGATCTGTGTTTTTTGGAGGGATTACTTCTCATCTTTGTTTAAGAAGTGTACAACAGAAAAATCGCAGTTGCGTTTCTTATGAATAATGCAAGCTGCTGACAGTCCATCCTCAACAAATTTTTCGTGGAAAAAATAAAATTTGCCTCATGTTCTGAATCAGGCTATAATTATTTAGTTAATATAACATTGGCTTGCATGAGAAGGCTCTCAAACCCTTCTGTTTGCAGTTATAATTACCAGATTTTACTAATTACATGACGTAAAGTCATGATTTTATAAAGGACACAGAGGCTCATATTACGCTTTATCTCTTTCTTTATTCCTCAGCAGCAAAGAAAGGATATTGATATTTTTAATATAGCAATAACAAGAAAAAACAAATACCCTTAAGGGTTAACCATATAACATTCCAGATATATTAACCAATGGGATCAGTCCTTGTACTGTGTCCCCTCATGTGACCTAAGCCACTCCCTCTTTCTTTGCTGACGCCGAAGCTGAACACATCAACGGGTAAAAATTCATAAACTTGGATAGTCTCCGGTAGAGGGTTCCGGTGAGTCTTCTGGTATAGTTAGGGGGTAGAGGATGATCCCGATTAGTTAAGCTGTAGGAGACAGAAAGATTTATGGTAAAATATATTCAAATATCGTTGTCATGCATATAAGCCGTACAAGTTTTTTCTTAAGTCCAGGAAATTCAGATTCAATGTTAATATTATTAATATATAACACTGCATCTGAACATCCAAATCACTCCTACCTGTTTATAGGCAATTGGGTGGGAAGATACATGTATGGCTTACCTGTCATCGGGTGGGCTAATACTTGCCTCCGTGTCCTTTATAAAATCATGAATTTACGTCATGTAATTAGTAACATTTGGTAATTTTATTAAAGGACATGGAGGCTCATATTAGGCTAGTTTAAAGCTGTGAGATGACCATAGACAAGATATGTTCTGTTGGCCGAAAATAGTATTCTTTAAACGTCGATTCTCAGGACCAATCAGCTGTGCGGAGAAGGTCCTCCAGTTTACAACCAATTGAGAATGCTTTAGAGGCCATAGCGCCTCTAGTAGAATGTGCTCCATAAACTGATGTGTTGATGCCAGCAGCTGACATTATCCATTTCACCCAGCATGCCAGAGTTACCGTGGATACTGGGTGATGAGGTTTCCTCAACCGCCAAGAATAGGTTGTGTGTTGTAGGGTTCCGAACTGGCAGAGGTTAGTGTTGTGAGGAAATGATGGGTAGAAGACTGACGTGATTTTTGACTTCGTACGTCTGGTGATATTAAACAGGACACCATGTGGGGTGAAGGACCGTGCATCGCTATCCAGGGCTCGAACTTCTGAAACCCTTTTGCAGGAAATTAAGCACAAGAGCATAGCCAATTTTGTGGACACTTGCTTGAGTGTGAGATCCGAGTTTGGAGGCCAGTCTTCCAGTAAGCGAAGGACCTTATTAACATCCCATAAGGCTGTATATCGGGGTTGTGGTGGCCGCACAAATTTTATGCCTTGTAAAAGGCGACAAACCAATAAATGCTTCCCAGCTGGGAAACCCTCCCATCCAATGTGGCCGGCTGAGATCACCTATCTGTACACATTTATGGTGCGGTAGGCCAAACCTTGGTTATACAGGGTAGTAAGGAAAACCAGGACGTGATTTACAGGAGCAGGTAGGGGATCCACGTGTTGTTCCACGCACCAACTACACCATGTGTTCAAGGCATGAGTGTAGGATCGTCTTGTTCCTGGGGCCCAAGCTCCCGCCAGTAAGTCCAAATTTGTTCGTGGAGCGTTCGGCAGGGACCAGGGTCCCCAGAGAGAAATCACGCTAGAAGTCTGAGGTGGCCTTGTATCAGAAGTGGGTGAGAGTTCCCATCGGGGTATGATAATAGGTCCGTGGTTCCTGGGATCAGTCTGGGAAGGTCAATAGACATTTCCATGAGTGAAGGGAACCAAGGTTGTGTCATCCAGAACGGTGTTATTAAAACTAGCGATGTTCGGGAGCGTTGTGGGTGTAAGAGAGTTTGTGCTATGAGTGAGAAGGAAGGGAAGGCATAGAGACGGTCGTTTGGCCAGTTTTGTAGGAAGGTGTCCACTGCCAAGGCGCCTGGGTCCGGTCTCCAGCTGAAGAACGAAGGAAGTTGAGCATTCAGCCGGGAGGCAGAGAGGTAGATGTGCATCGGGCCCCAGAGTTGTTGGAGTTTTTGAATATCAAGTGATTCAATCGCCAAGCACTGTTGTCTCGTAAATGCCTGGAGTTCCAATCTGCTACCGTGTTGGAGAGTCCTGGAAGGTATTCAGCCTGTACTGATATGTTGCGGCTCAGACAGAAATGCCAAAATTTGTTCGCCAGGTTCGTGAGTATTGTCGATCTCATGCCACCCAAGTGATTGATGTAACGAACGGCCGAGATATTGTCCATGCACAACAGTATGGAACAATTGATCATTTGTCCGAGGAGGCTCCGGAGAGTGAATGACCCCGCTAGGAGTTCCAAATCATTGATGTGGAATTCCTTTTCTTGTGAGGACCATTTTCCCCCTGTAGAGGTGGGACCACAATGAGCGCCCCATCTGAGTCTGCTCGCATCAGATTCTATGATGAGATCCGGGGTAGTTCCGAATATCGCTTTGCCGTTCCATGCTTCCATATGTTGAAGCCACCATGCTAATTCCTCTTTTGCTGCGCAGTCTAGAGGCACAGAATCTAAGTAAGATTGACCCAAGCGTAGATGGGTGGCTTTGAGCTGTTGCAGGGATCTGTAATGGAGAGGTCCCAGGAAAATCGCTTGTATGGAAGCAGACCAATTATCCTGGCCAGTTGTCCTTTTTGATGAGTTTTACCTTTGTGGTAGGTAGACTGAGTGTTCTGTGAATTGCGTCTATATCGAAACCTAGAAATTTTATCGATTTTGAAGGTTGCATGATTGACTTGTCCCAGTTGATTAGGAAACCCAGGTTTTGCAGAAGAGTCAATGTCCAAGATAGATGTTGGTTCAATAGATTGGTGTCGTGGGCCATGATCAGCATGTCGTCGAGGTATATGATCATACGTACACCTCTGCTGCGGAGAAGGGCGGCTACCGGTTTCAGCAGTTTGGTGAAGCACCACAGGGCTGAGGACAGGCCAAAGGAGAGGCATCTGAACCACCACATAGTCTTTTCCCATTGGAATTGAAGTAAGTGGTGACATTCTTTGGCGATCAGTATCGTGAGATTTGCATCTTGGAGGTCCATTTTCACCATCCAGTCTCCCAGTCTTAGGAGGTCCCAGAGGCAGTGTATCCCTTCCATCTTGAAGTGATGGTATGTGACAAAGGCGTTGAGAGGTCGCAGGTTTATTACTGGCCTCATGCCTCCACCGTTCTTGGGCACTAAGAAGATGTTGCTTAGGAAACCAGGGGCGGTAGTGGGGACTTTGTAGATCGCACCTTACTCTTTTAGTGTGCGAACCTCTTCTGATACTAGGTTTTTGTCTCGTGGGGAAAAGACAATCCGATGTGGCACTGAGAATTGGATCGGGTGATGTGAGAATTCAATGCGGTAATCTAGAACGGTCTCTAGGACCCAGGCATCTGAGGTTAGTTTGTGCCAGGCATCGTGGAAATGAAACAGTCTGCCCCCCACCTGTGATAAGGAACGGGTGTGTAAAGAAAAATGACTCACCATAAGGTCAACGGCCATGGGAGGATCCCCTGGTTCCACGTGGGTGCCACGACCTGCCCCTGGTTGGGAAAAATGGTGACTGTGTTCTGGGTTCGGGAGGATGGAACCGTGCTATGGCGGAGTCTCTGTAGTCCCGGTACGAAGTCCGGAAGGGGCGGCCGGACAGACAGCCCCGCTGTCTGCCGGCCCCACGAAAAACCTTTTGCGAGAACACACGCTTCATATTATGTTGTGCCTTGTCTAGTGCCGTGAAAGTGCTGACATAATTACCCAGGGTTTTGACAAAGTCGTCTCTGAATAGCAGACCTTTTGCCTGTGTGCCAGGCTCTGAAATTGCCAGATGTATCAGTTTTGGCTCGATTTTCATTAATATGGCTTTACGCCATTCTGTAGCCAAAGCAGTATTGGCGTTTCCAAATGGGCAAATGCCTCTTTGGATCCACCCCCTGATGGCCAGTAAGTCAATTGGGGTCCCCTCAGTAAGAGCCGTTTCGACCATGTCGAAAATTTTGGCTATAGGCCCGAGTATGTCCAGGACCTTGTCCTGGCAGTGTTTGAGAGAGTAGTCTAGACCCTTTTTGGCCTTCCATCCCGACTTGCCCAAGAACCGAGCGATCTTAGGGTCCACCTCAGGGGTCACGCAGCCCATGTCTGGGACCATGGGACGTGGGCATTCCGCCCTCAGTTTACTCCTTGTGGTCTTATCAAGGGGTTTTCTCACCCTGGTTGCTATATAGATGGCCACATGAGTTGTGAGGTACCATTCCGCCGAGCGTGGATTGTCCAAAGTGTCAGGTTCGAAGAGGGGTTCCCCTTGGGGTTCTAAAACAGCGCATTCATCTGCCTCCTGTTCAGGGTCTATCACTGGGTGTGCAGTCTCGCTGCGTTCAGGGGACGAGTTGTCTGAATAAATTGGGTCAATTGCCTCGGACCCATCTGAAGCCTCCTCTGAGTCCGAATCAGAGTCGTACGAATCAGGTAGGGCTTTTGCCCGCTTCCAATTCCGCACCGCTTTTGCCCGGCGGGGGGCTCTTTTACGTGGGAGCACCACGTCCTCAGTTTCAACTGGGCACAACCTGTCCGTCACACTGGTTTTGTAGGCGACACCTGTTAGATGGTGTGATTTGCACATAGCCTTGTGGCCGCTAGGGACCCTTGGCTTGCTATCAGCGGGTATAGGGGGTGCTGAACTGGGGGTTCTGCCGGATGCCATAATGGCGGAGGAGATAGTGTGTGACAGGGTGTCTGACATCCCTCCCATGGCATTAAATATAGCCTGTGTCACTGACTTGTTCATTCCTCTGAGTTCACGTGGTCCTGGGATGCTTCCTCACCACCCCTGCTGTAATATGCTTGCTAGGCTTAGCAGAGGCAGAGGGGGCAGAAACCTATTTGTCAGCCTGGGACTGCATACTGGCCAGAATTTAATACAAAGCTTGAGTTGGGGAAACAGGCACTACTAGTATGGTGGTTAATGGGGAATGGCACAGGGCAACTGACACCCCTTATAGTGGGTTATGACCTAGGTATGGAAAAACAAGTGTAGAAAAAACTCTGCCTGCACAGTATTAAATCACTTGAGGGCAAAGGCACACTATATGGCACATGAAACAAGGTATTGCACAAATAATATGGCAGCTTACCAAGTGTTCCCTCAGGAATGACTCCTGGTAAGCCGCCCAACACCTCCACTAGCCCATCAGCTCGCTTGACGAGTGACGCGAGCGACGGGTGAAAAAGGCGACAAAATCGCCAATCGCAAGATGGCCGCCGCCATGCGCGGGAGTGAACCGCGCATGCGCTGGCGACTGAGATAGCGGTTATTAATAGCTGCAATCCGTCGGGTGGTTAGACTGCTCGTTATGAGCTGCGGAGATGAGGAGGAGGTGGAGGAGGATGGAAGGGGGAGGGGATGGGGAGCTGTGGAAAAAAAACTGGGTTATAAACAACCGTGCGGCAGTGCAGAGTGGAGGCTTGCCCCAGGGGAGGGGCAAGTACCCTGCACTGAGGAAACAAGAGAAAACAGAAACAAAACACTAGAGCAGTAAAACACATCAATAATAATTAATGGAAAATGATCTGCAAGGTACATTAACACTAGGGAAACACCTAAATACAGCACAATTTTTTCAGAGCAGAAAAATATGAGGTACTTAGCTGAGGCAGCAGCAAAGAAAGAGGGAGTGGCTTAGGTCACATGAGGGGACATAGTACAAGGACTGATCCCATTGGTTAATATATCTGGAATGTTATATGGTTAACCCTTAAGGGTATTTGTTTTCTTGTTATTGCTATATTAAAAATATCAATTTCCTTTCTCTGCTGCTGAGGAATAAAGAAAGAGATAAAGCGTAATATGAGCCTCTGTGTCCTTTAATAAAATTATTGTATTTTCGTTATATTGTATAGCACTACTGGAATTTTTGTACTTTTAACGCTATCATTTGTCTTTTCTTGCACATGGATTTTTGATGTAACCAGCTGATGCAAATACTTAAAAACATTTTTGAAAATGATCATTCATTCTTTCAGGAGTTGTAAGGAATGCAGAGACGCAGCCCAGCTGTCTGCAGAACACGGGCTTTTTGTAAAAAAAAAAAAAGCTTGAATATTTAAGAGGATAGGTAATACTGTAACCAGATTATTTTGAGTCCTGGAGCAAAGTGTAGGAAATGGAAGAGAACATCCAAAAAAACTTTTATGAAGGAACATATTGTGGATTTGGCTGGAGTCATGGCTTGTATTTCTGTGGACAATTTTAAAATCTGAAGCTGGTAACACACTGGGTTGTGTGTACAAGGTAATGAGAAGTATGGGTATCAGGAAATGGAGAAAAAAAATCCATAAATCAGGAATACTAACAGAGCATCAAACCAATTGGAATAATAATACCTCACATTTGGCTAACTGCTACCTCCTGGGCACCACCCATCAAAACCAGAATAGTTATTCTACATATCATTTCACTCAGAGGCATGTTTAACTGCAATGAATGGGCTCTGTACATTAAAAAGACTGATGCAATGTTTATGCATTGGAATGGTAAAGAGGACATGTGTGCCAGGAGGCTGTTTCACAAATGCATAATTCTAGTTCAAAACACAAAGGTGGTAGCAACGCTGGCTACGGTCTGGCACACCCAGGATCTCAGCGCAGGACAGGGATGTTGCTAGATTCTAGAAGCACCTGGGGCTTAAGCCCAAAGCAAAAGATGATGACTCCTAGAATAACAGTTATAACATATTCCTCCCTTTATATGTTATGTCCCCTCCTGTCCAACTATGATCTCAATGAAAGCATAGCCACAAACAAGGACATGCTACACAGTATTCAATGTGATCCCACCCCTGTATTTAAGTATTTAGAAAATTGGGCAGACTAGATGGGCCGAATGGTTCTTATCTGCCGTCACAGTCACATTCTATGTTTAGTTGAACTATCTTCATAATTTTTCTGTATTAGTGTACATAATTAACAGAGACACGATATCGCCATATTCTTAACAGAAATGCCTGGGGTCTTAGAGTTTTTCTCCTTATTGACAACAATTTTTTCAGACTTTATTTGGGTGGTAAGATTGGAAAATTCTTCTTTATTAGGACATCCCACAGCTCACTAGTAGAAGTATTCTATGGATGTATTCTTTAGCCTTCAATGTGCTGATCTATTTTCTAACTCAATTTTAATTTTGTCACGTCCTGTTCCTGCTGTGGATCATTTCTGGCGATGGCTTTTGCTATCCAGTACTCTTTTTACAATTCTTGTTTAGTTTTTCTTGGTTTTTCTGGTTTTCTATTCCATGTCTGGTTTCTTTATGCTGGGTTTTCTGGATTCATTCCTGTATTCCGTTCCTGGAATTCCAAGGTCTTGGATTCCTTTAAATGTTTGTTTTTTGTTGCTACACCCGTTCCTTTGCCATTAATCCTTTTATTTCAGTCTGGCCCTGCAGGCAGTAGTTTCATTTCCTCTGCTCATTCCTTTGCAGGTAAGTGCTGCGTGTGTTTTATTATTAATTATTTGGTCATTCATATCTAAGCAGTTAGGACCCACCGTAATTGGAGTACTTTGGCGCAGTGGTGGGCTGCATACATCTTGGCCATTTATATATGTCTAAATCTCCAATGTTTATTACACATATTAGTACTTAGTTATGTCTCCTCTTGTATCTCTTGTCTTGTTTTATTTTGTCTTCCCAGTTCATGTACAGTCTTGTCCCGTCCATGCCTTGTTCTGGCTTCCCTCATGTCTTGTGTACATGTTCTGGACTTTGCTTTCTGTCCTTCTTCGGTTCTGAGTTTGTCTAATCTAGTCTTGTCTTATTTGGTGCCTGTTCTACTCTTGCCTTGTCTCTAGTACTGGATACATAACTGCTGCAGAGCCTCCCTATCCAAATCCTGGGAGGTCTGCATATTTTCTCCTAGTTCCTGTGATCCGCAGAAGCTGCATCAGGGCCCTGTGGCTGCACAAACCCGGGTGCTCAACAAGAGGGGGCGTGTGGTTACCCTGCACCAGGCCCTGATTGTCCATTTGTTCTTTACGACTTGATTTTTTTAAGGATTTCATTGAGGAGCATCCTTTTAAATACAAAAAAACTTCCCTTTTGAGGTATTGAATGTATTCTAAAATTAACTACGTAATACGTAATTATCAAACACATGAACTTGTACTTCTTTGCGACTATGACATAATTTATGGCATGGATCCCTTCCATTTATCTCCATTTATATTGTCAGTCTATGTGGTCCTTTTTGATGATGTGTACACACTTGAGACATCATGACCCTCTGTAACCAATCACAACCCAGTATAGGGTATTTATACTAGCCCGGCAGTTCTTACATCCGGTACATGTTCTTTACTGTTTCCTATAGGTTTTGGTATCTCCATTTCTGACAATCACATAGGGTCCAACATGAGCACAAAGATGTGGAGTGTGCAGTAATTGATTTTCCCAGTAGGTAGTGTAGCTAGGCACCTGGACCCTGGACCTTCCCATAGACCTTGGACTAAGAAATTGGCATATTTAACATTGCTTCTTACTCCCTATATTGATAGCAGATGGAGATGAACTACACCTTGAAGAAGAGGAGTAATGGCAAGTCATAGTCACTTTATGATATCCTGCTGTCATGTGAAAGGTACTAATCTGGTACAGATGGTGCATGTGAAGAACATATGAGATTACTATTTGTTATGATGTCTGAGCTGGGTGCAGTTGCATATCCGTCTATATTTTTTACAAATTTTTTTAGAGATGGTCATGGCAGAATTATTATAGGCACCTAAAATACTTATAATAGAGATCGTTCAATAGAAGCAGGGGGAATGGACGGGCAGGACAGTGAATGACCCTGACACGGAATATGGAGCAGCGATACAGCGGGCAACAACGTGCATGAGAACACATGTGGGGACAAGGGGTAAGGAGAACGGATTGAGGGGAAGCCTCAGGGTTTACGACATGATAACCGTGTCTACCGCAGCTATGACATCTTATACTATGTTTTGATCTAAATTAATTTTTCTTGTTACTGGAACTTGAGACACTATTAACTATGTAAAAATGTGGCCTATATGAAACTGTCAATTTAATTGTTTTGCTGCCACAATACAAATAAAGAATTAAAAAAAATATTTATAGAATTCTGGAAAACACAAAGCAGACTAACATTTGAAATTATGACAACAGAATGAAATAAGCTGCATCTCCAGTATCCAATCAAAATAGCAGCACATATCATATTAATAAGTAATATATCGTTTCAAATATCTTCTAAAAATAGTGTCTCCCTGGCTAAGTTATTTCTTCTTATTACAAGCCTAAATTTACAGCCATATGACAGGCTTTTCCCCCAAAGATCTCATAATTTACAAAAATATTTCCTTCCCTTTTAACTTATAATTAACACTGATACGCATGCAAAACTGGAATCACAACCATAAGGGATCTCATATAATTTCTACCAGAGAGATCATCCCATGACAATTGATCAAAGTCCGCTGAAGGCTGTTCAGCTGTTTCACATATAACATAAATTTTAAAGAATAACAGAACAGGTTTTAATAGACCATGTGTCACTTACTGAACCTTGATAGGTCACCCCTACAGACAGTTACACATTTCTTACTGTGCATGCTTTATCGTGTCTGATGACTTTTAATTATAAATAGTTGCTTGTACCAGTGGACGATTCACCTTAAAGGTCGCATGCTGGACTGCAAATAACAGTGCCTTCATTTTTTGTGTAGAAGACGAGAGCTATAATAAATCTATGGTTGAGAAAACTTTTGTAGACTCTCTTAAATAAGTTGAAACATATCCTATGATAGTCCTTGTGAATCAGATATAAGATAAGGCCAGGGACTAATGAAAGTATTTAGAAAATTTGGCAGACTAGATGGACCGAATGATTCTTATCTGCCGTCACATACAATGTTTCTATGTTATAAGCTGCTGATTTAGGGACACCTATGAAACATACATGTTTCATGGCTGTCTTTTAACAAATACAGTCCAGGAGTAATGATTTTTTTTCCACAGACATCCCTAAATCAAGCATTCCTATGGATGTTCTTATACTAAAAACCTACTATGTTACTGGATTCATTTTCGCATTAACTTCTGGTTTAATCTATTAATCTAATCTATCCATTACCCTGCGTTTAAATATCCATTGGTTCCTGCTCATTTGTACCTTAAATCAGGTTCCCACCTGTTCCCAGGAATAAGGTCGGCTTCTAGATGTCAGCAATATAGACTGTGTCACAGATGATAATCTAAGTGCTGCAGTCACAAACATTCTACGGGTCCAACCGTGAAGACACATGGTTGTAGAGTAGAAGCTCTGCTCTGTGGTTTACTATATCCCATGTAAGTCCATGTAATCTATGCTACCAGGCATTCTGGACCATTTGATAGTTCCTCTATCACAAGCAAGAATTCGGAAATCTGTCTTGTCCATCTTCATTTTAGGAAATCTTTTTTTGGACCAAGCTCAATCCACTGTTGACCTATTGTGCTCACCTTGAAATTTGAAGGAAAATGCATGTTAACTCTGCTGTTTTAAAGAATAACTTGACTAGGCATGGGCACTCCATCTACTCCTGCGCCAGTGCAGTTGCATGTTTATGCACCAATCTCTGGACCACCATTATGCTCCTTTTTGGAGAATCGACTAACTGGACACAAGTCAAACTGCCATCATCTAAGACACATAACCAACAGGGACAGTTTGCAAAGTTAGTTTCCAAAATTACCACCATATTGTGCCCTAAGCACAACTTGTTGTCCCCCTCCTTCTCTCCCCCCCAAACTTACTCTCCCTAATTCCACCCTCTAATCTCTGTTTTTCTTCTGACAATGTGTACAAAGCCATCCAAGGTAAAGAGTGTAAGGACGTGTAGCCCAGAACCTGCCGCCTATCATTGCCATTCACGGTTCGATAGCTTGGTATGGGCAATGCAGAAATGATACTTCCACATTATTTAAGTTGCAGCTAATGGGACAGACATTGGGTGCTTCAAAGAAGATTTGACAACAGATAAGGGGATGATACCAACTGACTTTGTGCCCCATAACCACTACACAACTGTTAAAAGCTATGGTGCTTAGAGATTTCCTTCAAGGGGTCCTTTGCTAGTTATTGTCAACTATGCATTTTCATTATTTCTCTGTCAAGTTATCTGTCAGATTCAAGACTAATTTACATTATGCTTCTCCTGTCTTCATCTTGTGCCATTTTTATAAATACACAGTGCTTAATTGTGCTCCTTTAAACAGGGGCAATCGTCTGGATCATTCTGAATTCAATTCAAGTTTTGGATCATTCAAGTTTTGAGATAATTAAAGTCCCAGTATAAGCATTAACAACCTTTTGGCAGTTTTAGACAACCTTGGTTTATTAATGAATGTTCCAGTGTAGAATACAGTCACCTCTAGTGATATAAATTATTATTTTTATTCATTGTTCTTCTCTTGCACCTGGTGAATTATGTGTGATAAACAATTGTTCCGTGTGCCCCTATTATTCATTCTGCTTTTGTTTTATGGCTTTATGATGCAATATTAACTGCTTATTAGATAACGTTCTGTTCTATCCACACTGTTACCAGAGAAACTATTAAACACTACACACCACACAGAATATAATCACTACAAACAATCCCTGAAATTTTCTTAAGTGTTTTCACTGAAGCAAGTTTAGTTTTATTCTAATAGGGCATACTAATCTACACACTAGTGTTCCCACAACTAAACCATAATACCCCCAATATTTGACACAAATTTTGTAATTTTGAGTGTATTGGTATAATATACCACCAACCCCCTCAACCCCCCCAAAAAAGAAAAAATATGTCTTAGTCAATTAAGAATGATTAAAATTAATGATGAAAATAACCCCTACTGCCACTGTACATTGATAACAATACATATTCATTACTTTACTATAAATGGAAAGAGTAAAAAGGCAAAGAAGACTCTAGTTCCGAGAAATTCCCAAGGCTTAATTTTTTAAATATATTTGTAAATCTTCATCAAACTATTTTCTTTTTTTTGTGTTATAACATTCCATTTCGACACGTCACCATGTTATGAAGATCATCAACCTTATGAAAACTCTATGGCTACATCAACAACAACTTCCAATCTTTAAACTATAATTTTAAAACAAAACAAAATGAGACTCTATGGTATGTAGAGTCCTCTTGCTCACATAACACTGACATGACAAGATTGACAATATTAGGTTGTTTGACAAGATTAGTTTGCTTGTTGATTGTTGATTGGTAAACATGTGCACCGCGGGAAAGAAAACGTTCTAAGCAAACGACTTTTGCCAAAATAATTTTTTTTTCAAAATGGCCGAATTTCAGCCATATGGTGTTTTGGCTTGGCCAAATTTCGTTAACAAAGAAAGATTCAACTAAACAAGTTAGACGAACCATGAGGATCAAAAACAGGGCAATTGGGGTACTTCAAAAATATATATATATAATATGAATATAATGTATTGACTAAAGAGCAAAATGTTAATTGTCTTGAATTGACAGCCTAATTACAAAATTTAGGACAATATGCGCGGCATGTGGCTGTTCTCCATTTCTCATATAGTTTTCAATTCCATTGAATACTCGCTAATATTTTTTCTGTAATGAAAAAAACACCAAGACAAACTATTAAGTATTGTAGTAATTTTGTTATTTCAGTAACATTATTTTGCATACAATCATTTATTAAACAAGTAGATTTAAATGCAAAAGAAATATATACAGAACTTAGTGGCAAGGTGATCACAGTCAACACACCGGTTAAAACAGTGGAGCACTTAATTATGTGCAAAACATATACACTTACCCCTTACTTATATATTTAAATGTTTGCTAAATTACTGCTGTTGATTTCCATATATTGCATAGTTAAACAATGTTTATGTCTTTGAATAATGTGAGTTTATTAGTAGACTAGCATATAAAAGAAATAGGACACTCTTGGGTCATACTTTTTACTGGTGAAAATTTATACTGCTTCACGCATAAACAGATTAGGGCATTAAAGAATGCTAGCATCGATATTTCATTCCCGTACGGAACTTTTATCAAGACTTATACTGAATGGAGCAGTGTAAGTTTTCAACACTTAAGACCCAAGAGTGCAATCTATCCTGTTAATATATTGTTCAGGCAAAGTTAGCATCAGGACGTTAAAGACATTTGAGGAAAAAAGAGGGTGCAAGGCCCGTGGACATTCAAAATATGCACGTATAGGCGTTGAATGCAAACTTATAAAATAAGCATTATATTATGTACGTTGCAGATGTATGCATGTCAAAAACACGTCTGTGTTCCAAGGCATTGTGTATACACCTTCTTTATCCAGGACAGGTCCCAAAAGGATTAAAAAAAAGCTGAAATGAAACACATCCAATTGGTTTTACTATTGTGATTTACAATGAGCTTGTTGTAATCCCCATCATTTCTATAAAATTGCTTTGTTTCAGATATTGCTTAAGTCCTGGCAAAGATGCATGGGAAATGCACGCAGACATATATATTATATAAATTGAAGATTCTCTACTTTCAGAACTCGCTGAATCTTGACATTTTCTTGGGAAATAAAACCATGTCTGCATGTAGGTTAACAAGCAAAGGGCTAAGATCTGATATAAATATGGTAAAGAAATTAGCACAGCAAAGTCAGAATTGTACTTACAAAATTGCTGAAATGTAGCATAGTGAATGTTTAGCACAGGTGTCTTTAATTTATGCCTCTAACTCTGAGTGCGATCCAAAGGGAAAACATTATATTTTACATGTATTATTCTGTCCTGTTTTAACTAGATTGGGCAAAATGGCGCTTTCCACCCTGGGGTAAATGGTTCAAGGTATTGCTTGTGCTTGCTAAAATATTCTCATTATCAGAACTAGTTGTTATAATATTTTCAACTTCAACAGTAATACACCAGCTGTGAATCTGAAGATATAGAAGATTTAGCTGACTTTAAAGGAACACTTTGAGCATTATAACAACTTCATAAGAATAAAGTTGTTATTGTGCCAGGAGGTCACTTCATGAACAGTTTAACCACAAAGTCTCTAATCCAGTTAATCCAATAAATTCTGCCACTGTTCTACGACTTCTCTCCAATTCTTGAAAGAGGAAGCCTTGGACAGCCTTGAACAGGAGTTCCGCTGATTGTTTGTGTTTGGAGCTACTGATTGGCTTAGCGCATCAGCACACTCTCAGCCAAACTTTGGCACCACTGCCCGAGGCTGTTTGATGCTTCCTCTTTCAAGAATCTCAAAGACGTGGAAGGACGGGGCTGAGCTAAATGGTGCAGGATTGAAGACTTTGGAGTTACGCTGTTAGTCAACAGTTTAATCCCTAGTAAGTCAGCTCCAGGGACCTACTGACTCCATAACATCCTCATTCTGATTAAGTTCTTATGGTGCGACAAATGTTCCTTTAATTCTACCAATGTCTTATATCCTGAACGCTATTTTTTTTCAATGCATTCTACAATGTTGTGGCCCATTTAAAATGAATATTCCGTTACCTTATGCAAACATATTTCTGCACTATAATTAGTAGTATTACTCCACAAAGGTAATCTCTTTCAGGTAAAAAAAAATCTAATCATCAAAGCAACTCAAAAAAAAATTTCTATTCAAGAATACAAGTTACAGGGTTTTCATTTAAACCAGGTGGAGCTATATTTCCTGGCTTATAAATCACAAAGGCTTCTCATCTCTAGATACATTTATTTGTACTAGTTCTACCTTCTACACATTCTATTGCCATCGATGTAAAATAATCCCTTGGATTATCTATACAATCCATTATGGATTACCAATCCAATATAATTTATTATGAATATTATGGACGATCTATTTATTGATACAAGTCAGGATTGATGGTTGGGCTTAATGGAGAGTCAATACAGAGGTGTAATGTTAAAAACTAGAAGTAGTATAATGGCTACAAGACAAGTCAAGGCCAAGTAATAGAAAGATCAGGGTAACAAAATTACGAGCCGGGGTTAAGGAACAGAGAGATCAGAATAATCCAGGTAAAAAAATTAGAAAAGAGAAAAGTACATTGTGCTATTACACCTACAACCCCGCCTACCCCCCACAAAATTAAAGATTCAGAAAAGGGCACCCCATTCATGAGCTGCGAAGAACATGGTTTCCTTAACATCAGTAAAATAATAACAAAGGTATGAACTCCCAGAGATGATCTTTTAAATCCAAAAGGATTTATTATCCCCCGTAGGATATTAAAGCCAAAACGTTACAAAACCACCACAAGCAATGAGAAGTGCATATCCATGATACAGATTAAACAAATCATAGCTACAAAAAGTTACGTATAAACATATACTGGTAGAAGACAATTTTAGAAAAAAAAACATGAATCTGCATAGATGATATGAGCAGAAAGAATGTATTGCTGAATTATCTCTCTGGTTTTGTAGTGTTCTCCATGTGTGGTAAGTGCTGTACCTGTATTGTAAATATTCCATATTTTAGATACCACAATCACTCTTTATATATTCTCCTGGTAAACAATTGCGAAACGAGTAGTAACATACCCCGACATTCCAGATTTACTACCTGCATTTTAGATACACTGTGGTACAACACGTTTGTTTCATAAGGGCTTAGATTGAAAGATATTGCAAGTCATTATGTCAGCAAATTAGACGTACATGCGAGAGATAACTTTTGGTGAGAGGAAGTTTTTTTTTGCAGATACTGAGTTAGAACAGATAACTTAAAATTAAAAATTATTACTCCAACGTAAAAAGAGTACTCATAGGCTTCAAAATAAACAAAAGTGAAGATTTATTTTCAGCAGATGTGCCTTTGCATGTAATCAATGTTTCAGTCCAACTACCTTGACATATGAAGGAAAGCTTGGTAATGGGACTGAAATGGTGAATGTATGTAGGGCACAACTGTAAAAATGTTTATTTTGAAGTCCTGTGGGTGTGCTCTTCACTTTAAATATGTTATTGTGCTGGAGTATGCACCTAGCAACAAGACTGGGCCAATATCTGCTCATTACATATGTTACATATTAATGACATTTCTCTGTGTATTATGCATATATAAATGTACATTAATATGTGTAAATATAATAGGCATAATTCTATATATATATATATATATATATATATATATATATATATATATAACTAATACACACATTAATATACATGTCATATACCAGTGGCGGATCCAGAGCCTGATCCCGGGAGGGGCACTTGTAGATTATTTAAAGAAATATTCCATGCACAATAACCACTACTCCTCTGTGTAGTGGTTATGGTGCCAAGAGTGTCAGCACCCCCTCCCAGAGTAAGTAGTCAAACCGTTTAAGAACAGTTTGACAACTTACCTGGAGTCTGCTGGGATATGGGGCTGTAGTAGGGTATAGGAGCAGTGGTGCAATGTGTGGGGGGTGTAGTGTGTGAATGTGTAGCGTGTCTGGGGCAGTGTGTGTATGGGGGGCAGTGTGTGAATGTGTATGGTGTGTGTGGGGGCAGTGTGTGAATGTGTATAGTGTGTGTGTGGGGGCAGTGTGTGTATGGGGCTAGAGTTCACTCTCAGTACTGCGACCACCAGGAATCCCTGGTGGTTGCAGTGGTGAGAGTGAACTCTAGCCCGTAGCTCCAGGGCTAGAGTTCACCCTCGTGAGAGCCGGAGTGTTGCCGTGGTAACTGCGGCAACGCTCTGTGCTCGCGCGAGAATGACCCAGTGGACCTGCAGGTTGAGCTCCCGGGTCCTCTCTTCCTCCCTCCCCTGCCGGCTGCCCACACAGTGCCTGCGGAATGGGGAGGAGATCGGCCAGCAGGGAGAAGCCCCGTTGCCCCCCATCCACCAGTGATATATACAGCCCCTATGTGTGTCTCTTTTTATCTTCAGCCCCTCTGTGTGCCTTTTTGTCTCCCCCCAGTCACTCTGTATGTTTCTTTCTCCCCCTCACTGCTCCTCTGTGTCAATTTCTCCCCTCTCCTTCCCAGTCTCTCTCTTCCCCCTCTGATTCCCTTTCTTCCCCTCTGTCTCTATCTCCCCCTTTCCCTGTGTCTCTCCCTCCTCCACATCTCTCCCCCTTTTCCCTGTGTCTCTCCCTCCTCCACATCTCTCCCCCCTTTCCCAGTGTCTCTCCCTCCTCCACATCTCTCCCCCCTTTCCCAGTGTCTCTCCCTCCTCCACATCTCTCTCCACCTCTGTTTCTTTCTCCTCCGTCCTTCACATCTCTCTCCCCCTCTGTCTCTTTCTCCTCCCTCCACCATCTCTCTATTCCTCCCCCTCTGTCTCTTTCTCCTCCCTCCACCATCTCTCTATTCCTCCCCCTCTGTCTCTTTCTCCTCCCTCCACCATCTCTCTATATCTCCTCCTCTGTCGCCTCCCTCCACCATCTCTCTATTCCTCCTCTTTCTCCCCCACTGTCTCTTTCTTCTCCCTCCTCCACATCTCTCTCCCCCTCTGTCTCTTTCTCCTCCCTCCACCATCTCGCTATTCCTCCCCCTCTGTCTCTTTCTCCTCCCTCCACCATCTCTCTATTCCTCCTCTTTCTCCCCCTCTGTCTCTTTCTCCCTCCTTCCCCTGTGTCTATTCCCCTCTCTGTTTTATTCCCACCCCCCACCCCATTTACCTAGAGAAGTCAGGGGCCAGCCGCGTTCCAGGCTGGAGCCACCAAGCCGGGTGGCAGCTTCGCCGGTCCGGCAGCACTTCTGTCACTGATGATGCTGAGGACTGAAGAAGGAGGAGCATGTCTATCTACCATGCTCCCTCGCGGTTCCCACAATCCCCAGCACAGTATACTGATACTGATCCATACATCAACCGCGAGGGGGCATGGTAGATAGACATGCTCCTCCTCCTTCAGCCCTCAGCATCATCAGTGATAGAGGTGCCGCCGGACCGGCGAAGCTGCCACCCGGCCCGGTGGCTCCAGCCTGGAACGCGGCCGGCCCCCTCTGAGTGTGCCACCGGACCGGCCACCCGGTGTCCCGGTGGGCCAGTCCAGCCCTGTATACAATATGGAGTGTTTAGAAAGGTTTGTTATGTTTGCTCAGAACAATACAGTATAGATTTGTTATACAATATATAGTTGGGTTATACTATATGGAGAATCTAATGTGCCTGTCATGATCCCTTTGACACTATACATGAAAATGTGTACCATCACCCTCCAAAGTCAATCAGCAGATACAGTGGATATTTAGAAATATTTACAAAGTTGGGAAGAAGATGCTTTTCCTGTTCTATTTATTGTGTTTGTTGAGTAACATCATAAAAGTGTTGGGATCTTGTTGGGAACACTGTTTAGTAGATGAAGCCCACGATGCAGAAGAGCGCTGAAAGAACGTAAACCAGATTCGCAGTATAGAAGGGTTAGATGGAGAATAGTCAGGAAAGCCAAAAGGTCAGGACAGGCAACACAGGTTCAGAAACGATAAATCAGGCAAAGGTCAATAGCAGGATACAGCAGAGTAGTCACTGATGGTCTGAATACAACAGGAATACAGTATATCTGAGCAATCAGTTCTAGGAGGAGTGGGGTTTAAATAGGGAGAAGAGGTATGTCCATTTACCTTAACTCCACCTCCTTTTGATATGGACCGCATTCTGTACCTTTAAGAAGGCATTCTTTCGGCACGTGTTGGCCCTAAGTCACTCCTGTTGCTCCACCCCTTCACCACGAAGAAATGGAGTACGGTGCCGATCCACAGGAATGCGGCACAGCCTATGGCTAAAGTACTGCGGCCAGTCGTCGGTAGATAGCAGGCCAGCTGTGACGTGGCAGAGGGGTCCTGGCACGGGGTCTCAGTGAGGAGAGAGGCAGATGCAGCATGGGACCATGAGGTAAGGAGGCAGAGGAGAGGAAGATATTTATGGTCTTGAATCAGTATTCTACTAAAAATCTTAATTAGTCTTCTTCTTATTCATCATAAGATGCAGATTCTATTCATTCCTCTGATTATTCATGGAAGTGTGCTTAATCCTTTTATGAAATGTAAAAGCTATATTTTATACAAGATTTACAAGCTGGTTATGAATATTATTAAGTATGCATGCATTTGTACGTTTATAAGGTTGTTGATTTTTTGTTGTTGTTGCTGTTCCTATAGTTAATTGCTTGCTAAATCAATGAAGGGAATCCTTTGCGATCTTCATTTAGGAATAAAATGGTTTATTTCCTGTCTGTGTAACTAGTTTAGATAAATAACACAACCTATCACATGAATCATTGCCAATTAGATGCATAAAACAAGTTTTTTGTATCTTGAGTGTTTGTTGTGGCTACTTTCTAATTGAGTAGTCGTGTAAGTAATTGTTACTTTGGAGTTAATTATTTTTTTCTTCCTTTTGGGACACAAATGGACACAACTGGAAATTGCTTCAAGCTCTTGGTTCATCAGCCGAAAGAAAGATGTTTGAGAAGTGGTACTTAAGGGACTTCATGTGCCTAGGTAACTCCGTAAACATCTATGAGTAACTGAATTTGGGCACAACGTTTTGTGGCTGATAAGCTATGAAAATTAACTCCATAGAGCAGGGATTCACAATTAATTTTTCCCATGGAACCCTTTGACATAGTGTATCCACATCGTGGAACCCTCCCCCCCTCCCCCACCTCCTTCCCCCCCTGCCCACCGTAAAAAAAAAAAAATTTTGCACCGTTGCATAACCTTTTGTATCCGTGTGTCAATGTGTATCTGTGTGTGTGTGTATGTATCTGACACACCGAAACACACACACTGGCACAAGGTGGCACACAGATACACACACATTGACACACAGTGTCTATCTGTGTGTGTGTGTGTGTGTGTGTATGTATCTATGTGTCAAGGTGTGTGTATTCCTGTGTCAAAGTGTATGTTTGTATATGCTGGTGTGTGTCTGTGTATTAAGGTGTATGTATCTGTGTTTGTATGTGCTAGTGTGTGTATCTGTGTGTCAGTGTGTATGAATCTAACACACAGAAACACACACTGGCACATAGTGTGTATCTCTGTGTGTGTGTGTGTGTGTGTATCTATCTGTGTGTCAAAGTATGTGTACCTGTGTTTGTATGTGCCGGTGTGTCATGGTGTGTGTATCTGTGTTTGTATGTGCCAGTGTGTGTATCTGTGTGTTAGTGTAGAAAGTAATATTCATGTATATTAAAACAGAAAAAAAATCAAGGCTAGTGCAATACTAAAATAGTTCAAAGGCAGCTTAATCACCAAACGTGGAGTCTCTCTTTTCCGATGAGGGGCAGGATAAAATAGAAAACGAAGGTGTAGCACCTGGATACATTTCCTAAAGGACATTCCAGGTGCTACACCTTTGTTTTCTGTAATATTTATGTATGGCTAATAGCCTTATGAAATGTGATGCCTAATATAACAATTTATACCAGCATTATTTACAAAATTGTGTTTATCTCATACTGCAATCAATCTAATTGTTGTGCTATGTACCCGTAGCGTCTTTTAAGTCAATGAATAATTTTTTAAAAAAATTTCTATCATTGGAAAGACTCATAACAATCCGATTAAGATCAAAATTAAAAAGAAGTCTTTACTCTTACATGCATCAGCAAATTCTTATTTTTCCATTTTCTTGCAAAAAAATACAACAGTGCATTAATAAGATCCTATTTCTGCTTCAGAGTGAATAAAATCTTTGTTCCTCTCAGTATAGGATTAAGACGGTTACTATTTTGGTAATAAGATGAGTTTGATGTGCTTACAACACAGCAGCGGTCCAAGTTGGATGCTTGAAGTGGGCAGGAGCGCCGTTACCTCAAATGAACCTGTTCTAACGAGCATCTTGCAGAACAGTAAGTCTGATACAAAGCTCTAATTGCAAAAAGTGACAATGCATTTATAATTACCATTTGATAAGTTCTTAATAGGACTTATAACTATGCCTCTTTTTTTCTGTGTCAAAACCCATGCAGGCTTCATGACGTACAACAAAGAGATGGGAAGAACACATATTATTTCTTAGTGATTAAGTAAAAAATCTCTATACAAACTGTTCTGCAGAGGGAGTTACAAAGTGTATTTAAAAAAATGCCATGAATACAATCATGGAGAGACTAAACAACAATGGATTATATCGCCTTATCCCGGGCACAATTAGTAACTAAATACCCTGAGCCTGAAAACAAAGAACAGGCTTAGCTAAAAATTGTTAACCTGGTTCCTTCTTATGAAGTCATTGCAAAAAAAAATATTATTTTAATTTACATTTCACATCAAAGAAGCTTGGCTTCATGAACCCTTTCATGAACCCATGAATACTAAATACCGTTTTAATAACTTGTATTTAAAACAAATAATGTGCACCTATAACATAGGTATAGGTGGGGTGGGGGGAGAAGAAATGTAGAAGCTGGTACCTAAAATACTGTTATGTGAATGCACATGATTTTTCACTTTATTTTTCAAGGATAACATATAATACAGTTAGCATAAAAGCCAGTTATATTAATGAAAAAACACAAAAGATAGGTGCTTACTATAGCAGAGTAATGGGCAGCAGGAGGGATTCCCAAATCCTGCTCAGATAGTAACACGTGAATAAAAAAGAAAGGTGTGCTAAACACAGTAGAAAAATGTGTCAAAAACTTATAATAAGATATATATACATATATACATACTCCTTTTAGAGGTCGGTAATTAACAATGTCAGACTTTAAAGGATCGCAAGAAAAAGGAAGAACACAAGAAATAATAGTGCAGTATGTCAACTCTATATCTTAGAATTTTAAATACATTTTGTAGAGTGCTAACTCACACCTGTGAGAGCTACTGAGAGCTCTGCTATATATCACCTGGACGGTATAATCCCTGTCTAAGGATATGTAGATTTTCAGTGTAGTGAACTCTATATAGCACTACACTCAGCACTTTAAATGGCTATGAATGATAAGATCTTTCTGGTTGCACTAATATTTTTATTT